GTGAGTCCAGCTCTGCTTCTGCCTTGGGGTCTGTCTCCTAATGCTCATAACAGGAGCCAGAGTGCAGAGCTGAGCCATGAGCGTGTGTGTGTGTGTGTGTGTGTGTGTGTGTTTGTGCCCGCCCACCCGCCTCGTGCCCGGTGCCCGGTGCCGTCCTAACGCGCCGCAGATGGGCCGGACTGGGGAGTTGTTCTTGGCACGGTTCGCCGCGGCCGAATGTCACAAATACTTTCCTTTATTTAGGAATGGCTCGGGGGTTAGGGAGCGAGAGAGGAAGGGAGCCAGGGACGGAGAGAACGAGGGAGGGAGGGAGAGAAAGCAGGAGAGGGAGATGGAGAATAACAGCTTTCTCAAACATCTGGCTTTCATTAGCGGCCACTGAGAGAATCTGAAGAGAGGTTTTTTTTTCCCTCTTTCTCCCTTCCTTTAAGTAATAATATATGGAATGGAACCACTTCTGCTGACACCCTCCCAGGATTAGAGGGGATGGGGCTAAACGCTGGCGATTACCATGACGCGGACACTGCCGAGAGGGAAAAAAACAAGCTGCAAAAGAGACTCCGCATCTTCTGCCACCGGGAGGCGCTAATGAGCATTGAGGGTCTGTGGTCCAACAATGTGACAGGAAGAGCCAGACCACAGGGGGACCCCAGAGGGACCCTGCCTGCCTGCCCAGGATTCCCCAGTCTGGGGAGGGGTGGCTTGGGTGTCGTTGCAGAGGAGAAGGGGTATGCACCACCCTCAGCCATCTCTGGGGGTGACGCACTGGGCCCCATAAATCCCACAACTGTCCCATCCCGCCTGGCGTTGGGGGGGGGGGGAGGGTAAAAAGACCATGTTTGCCTTCAATAAATGTATTTGTTCAGCCAGCTGGTGTCAGAGGGATTCCTCATTAGGTATGGGGGGCGGTCCATGGAAACAGAGCGTCCCTCCCCAGGCTTATCATTTGCGGGTGTAAAGGTTCAGATGCCGCGTCAGAGACTGACTCTATGTGGTACGGTCTGTAATGGGGGGGAGTTGGTGGATAGCCCCCTCCAGCATCATTTTCTCATTCACTCTAACATTTCAGCAGAGCTTGCGGACATGGGCTGTAAAC